GTCACTAAAGTATGGAATAAAAAAGAGAGATACTAATAATCAGGATGATTTCACAATCCATGTGAACTGTATATTTTTTTGGGGGACATCCCATTTAAATTGGCCAATTGCTAATTGGAAGTTGCAATACTTGTAGTCGGAGCTTCAAAACTTGATCAATCTATAGCCTTTGCTAATTGCAAGTTGCAATACTTGTAGTCTGACTTCAAAACTTGATCAATCTATAGCCTGCCTGAACTACTCAGAAGAAAAGTGGAAAGGAAATATAAAATTTCTTGCATTTGTTTATCAAAGAAACAAATCGTGAACTCTTAAATCTATTAACTTCCAGAAGATGGTGGTTTCACTTGTCCTTGTGCCATTTGAACTAAATTTTATGTCCTTTTGCCCATCTTCTTATTTATCGTGTTAACCATTACACTGTATAAACCATAACACTGTATAACGAAACACTGTGTGTTTAACAGGTCACGGGAGAACCAAGTTCTGGCGCCTCTCATCCTATACCTAAGGCAGTTGGAGTGGATGATTCCAAGCAGGATTAACTTTGGAAGAATTGGAAAAAGCAAATATCGGTTATGTCTTCCTTGAGACTATGCAGGTTTATCTAGCCATTGGCAAAATGATATGTGTGCTACCTATATCATCTTGGTTAATTTAGTTTGTGGAGATTTGGATAATGTAAACTGAACCTTCTTACATTTTTATGGTTAACTTGTAAATCTCTGTTAGAAGCACACATGACATCTGATTGTGTTTCCAACTTTATAATCTCTCTTCAGCCATGTTATGTATTTGGAAGTGTCGAATTATGCCTTAATCGATGTCAGTAGCGCAGACAAGAGTCGGTTGCTCTAGTGGTAATTACCCTTCACTTCCAACCAAGAGGTTGTGAGTTCGAGTCACCCCAAGAGCAAGGTGGGGAGTTCTTGGAGGGAGGGATGCCGAGGGTCTATCGGAAACAGTCTCTCCTCCAGGGTAGGGGTAAAGTCTGCGTACACACTACTCTCCCCAGATCCCACTAGTGGGATTATACTGGGTTGTTGTTGTTGATATCAGTAGTGCGCTTAATGCCTCGTGTCCCCTATGTTGTTCTTGACTCTTTGCAGTCTATGACTACACCACTGTATGAGATAGTAAGAGGAGTAAATTGAACCGACTTTAGCTTCCCTGGTCCCTACTCTGTAATTGGCGAAATCTTTCTTCCTCCTCCAGAAAAAGGAGTAAATTCTTTACACCGATATGTCGTACTCCTTTACAGTGGCGTAGCCACATACATTGAAGGGTGGTCAACCGAACACTCTTCATCGAAAAGTATATATTGTATATATAGTAATTTTTATTGTGTATATATGTCAAAAAATATTGTTATGTGTATATTAAATTTGGCGAATTACTAGCTTAGCCATTGCTCCTTTAACCAGGTTGCCCGACAGACTATGTGCAAGCTGGGTCGGAAACTACTTTATCAAAAGAGAATAAAGTGTCAGCTTTCAAGCATTAGCTAAATGGTAGCTAATATTTATTTTCGTTTGTATTTGATATCTTTTTCTTGCTTAACTGGCAAGTGAAGATCTACCATAACGATTTTGTGGGATCCTTTACAACTGGAATGCTTGTATCTGCAGTTTTGGGGGCCATTTTGTTGAATATGATGTATATTTCGTTTTTCTTGCCCATGTCTTTTAAAATTGTGGACATGTGTTTTTTATTCAATTGATTCAACAACATTCAACTTAGGAAAATGTTTGCTTTTGTCAAAAGGTGAAAGGTATAGGCTCGAGTCGTCTTTGTTATGTGATATTCAATTTTGTTTGCCAAGTCTATGACAAATTTTTAGAAGGATAGGTTTTACTTTAGGCCATATGACTTGTGAGGTTTAAAAAAGAGGCATTTAAGCCTGTCCACAAAGCCAAAAAATAAAGGTTCATTAATGTTACTGCATTTAAATTAGAAACTGTTATTATTTGTAGAAATATTTTACCTGATTTTACACCGTTTCAAATAAAATAGTACAGAGTTGTAAAAGCATAAGAACTATATAGAACCATTTACAAAGTTTCAAATAAAATAGTTTGGTGGATAAGTTTTTTCAACCAAGTTGGCACGGGGTGCCTTGGCGTAGCTGGTAAAATTACTGCCATGTGACTAGGAGGCCACGGGTCGATCGCGGAAATAGCCACTTGTAGAAATACAGAATAAGACTGCGTACAATAGACTATTGTAGTCTGGTCCTTTTCCGAACCCAACGCATACCGGAACAAGTAAAATTACTGCCATGTGACTAGGAGATCACGAGTTCGACCGCGGAAATAGCCACTTGTAGAAATACAGAATAAGACTGCGTACAATAGACTCTTGTAGTCTGGTCCTTTTCCGAACCCAACGCATACCGGAAGCTTGGTGCACCGAAAATGCACTTTAAGTTGGCATCATTACACCATATGTAAGTAGTGGTGGCTGGTCTCTCTAAGTCTGCAACATAATTATATTATGGTAATATGGTGGCCTTAAATTGTAGCAGCCACGGCCCATGTGTATTCACAAAGTTGTTAAGAAATTGGATTTCAACTAAATAATAATTGAATACATCATGGGTTGGTGAGCTATTAGTCAACTGTTTCAGTGTATAAGATCTTGGTTGAAATTTAGGTGAATGTTTGTTGAAAAGTCTTAAAAGAAAGTTCTGCGTAATTGCTACTAAAACCAAAGATTGCCACCTTAAAAATTAATATACTATTTTAATGTGTTAAATTTTTTGCTGAAAACCAAGTTATTGTTTTCAAGACTCTGGTGAAGTGATGGGGTAATCAATCAGAACGAAGAAGCCAGGAATTTTCCAAGTAATTTGTTTTATTCTTATTTAGATGAAAGTAGATGAATAATCACCGAGAGTTGTATATGATGGAATAGATAAGATTCCTCCGTCCTCAATCAAAAGTCTCGGCTTTGAGTCCTAGGGATGAAGGGGAGTGCTTTCCTTTTAAATGGCCTTACACATCGCAAATTCAGATTAGTCGGAGCCCCGATATAAATACCGGACACCCAGTAGAAAACCAAAAAAACAACAACAATATAATGTATAAACTTTGATTTGGTATTTTCTTTCATTATTTGTTTCTCTTACTTAGCAAGTGAGCACTATTTCAATGTGCTTCTATTTATTTCCACTCATAATTAATGATGATGCTCAAAATTGGTCCAAAACAAAATTTTCAACAGAACATTTGGAAATTTTTAAGAAAGGCATTTCGGAGAAGTTCTAGTGAAAATGTTTAAGGAAATTTTTTTCTAAAAATCAAACGTGGTTGGATAATTGCTGTTTCTATCAAGACAAGATAATTTTTGATCTATTTCCAAAAGCGTTTGGTAAAAGTTAAAGAGCTAGGCTTTTAAAATTTAACAAGCTCTCTAAAGTCAATAGCAACTTTCTATTAGACCAAAGTTAATTAATCCAAAGTTAAGTGATCATGGAGGTCGCTGATTAGGATAAAAGGTTATTAAGTAGTCGAGTGATTTCTCTATTTTTTTTGGAAGACCGTTGTTCTAGTTTAGAGTATTTTATCTGCTCCTTCTTCTCCTTCTTAGTATTACTATCATTATTCTATTATTATCTTATTTTTCAATTCTATTACTACTGTTTTTTTATTTGATTAGTGTATTGGGGAAAATCAATATTACATTTGGAATTAATTATGTGGCTGTCATGGCAAGACACGTAGATTATTAGAAGAGTGACAGCTGGCAAAGAGTACTTAAAGAGACGCGAGTCTTAATAGGTACGAGCAAAGTGTCTAGAAGACAAGAAGGAACGGTCGCTCGGGTCTCTTCATAATTTGAAGAGGCACCGGTAGAATGAACCAAGATAGCAAAAAGTACAGATTTGCTAAATCTTCAATTAATGAGCATGCATGATTGAAAACGTTACAGAATCTTCACGAAACAGTTACGATTGCCAATTATAACATTTTATTAATGTCATTAAATGCTCATAGTGACTCGATTATTAGAGGGAAGAGACGTTGTACTTAGAAATAGCTATAAAAGGAAGAGAAATGACATATGTACGGACACGTTCTGATTACTATTGAAAGATACTTGTTTACTTTGCTTTATATCGATTACTTTGTTATTACACATTCTAAATTTTTCCTTTTCCATTGCAAAAATATTCTTTTGTTTGATTATCAGTAGACCGAGTACTTCTTAAAATAAGCTTTGACCAAAACTCCTATTTTTCGGTTAAACAAATTGGTTCCGTTACCGGAAATCTAATAATCTTCTCACTTTCCAAATCCGTTCTTTTATTAAAAAGAATTATGTCGAATGCCAACGACAACAACCAACAAAACTTACAAAACCAACAAAACCAGCAAGGAGACGGAACTCAGCAACATCAGTTGAATCATCTAAATCAACAAGGAGATAGAACTCCAATCCCTCCCCACGAAACTCTCATCGACAATCTCGAGAAGGGACCCCTGATAGATCTGAATCAAATATCAATGACCAGCATGAGAATGATCAAGCTATTGATGTAACGTTGGTCAACAATGTTCTTCAAGCTTTTGTCAGCGGGTTGCCAACTGTACCACCAACTCCACCTCCAAATAATACCGCAACCATAGAAAATCCTCGCTCGAGACTCGCTAATTCAGGCAGTGGAGGAATTCCCAGCAAATCTCGTGATGGAGGGTCAGGTAACCCAATTAATTCTGATTTACAAAGTTTAGTGCTAACTTTGCAGAAACAGCTCAAAGAACATAGTGATCGCATAGAGCAGATACCCGATGTACCACCTATAATCAAAGGAATAGATATGGAGAAATACTCTCAACAACCTTGGAAGTTAAGTGCCGCTCCTTTGCCAATTCTAAAAAAATTCAAGATGCCCGATATCCTGAAGTACGATGGAACAACTGATCCACGGGATCACGTAATGGCATTTACTACTGGCGTAAAGGACAACGACTTGACCAAGCAAGAAATTAAATCAGTATTGGTCAAAAAATTCGGAGAAACACTCACGAAGGGAGCACTAACTTGGTATTCTCTTTTACCTGAAAATTTTATTGATTCTTTTGCTGAGCTTGTAGATTCATTTATCAAAGCACATTCGGGAGCTCAAAAAGTTGAAAAAAAGATGGAAGACATTTTCAAAATAAAACAAGGAGATACGGAGCTGCTCAGGGAATTCGTAGACAAATTCCAGCGTGAAAGGATGATATTGACACGTGTACCCGATAACTGGGCGGCTATGGCATTTGCCAGTAATATAAATGAAAAAAGCTCAGAAGCCACGAGGAGACTCAAAGAAATCTTACGAGAATTTCTATCAACAACTTGGAATGATGTTTACAATAGATACAACACAAAGCTGCGGATAGAAGAAGATACTAACACTCAGTCTCAAAAAGATGAAAAAGTAAGTTCAAGGCGGGCAGAAACTGAAAAAAGGTTCGGTAAAAACAGGTACGAATCTTATATAGGACTAGCAGGAAGGGATTCATGTTCAAAACAGGAAAATCCAAGATATGAACCTAGGTCAAGGGACAGAGAATCAGGTTTGTCGTCGAGGTTCGGAAAAGGGCGAAACATGCGAGATACGCGAGACGACGACATAGGTTCAAAAGCAAAAATTGGTGGTTACAGTTTTAATATAAGAACATCCAAGTTGGTGGATGTTCTAAGAAGTATGGGAGATAAGGTACGGTGGCCAAAAGAAATGAGATCAAACCCAAACAAGAGAAATCCCAAATTTTGGTGCGAGTTTCACAACGATCACGGTCATAAAATGGCGGACTGCAGA